TCCAGACGGTTTCACCAGGTAATCTGTCATTAGCATTTTTTTACTACTTGAGATGAGTTTTCAAGCAATAATTCGGATTTTGTATCACTTCAGGTATATGTAAGGCTTCTGGATTTCTCAATATAGTCAAGGTACTTTGGTGCTGATACTGGGGTAAAAGTACTGGAGAAATGCGGGGTCTGCATGGATTCTTTCTATTAAGATGTTCATAAAGCTTTTGTGGTGTTGCCCACAATGCCCACAAGTTCTATTTTTCTTGTCTTTTCTAGCCATTTGTAATTATAGCTTGCTAGTTCTAACGCTTTTGCTATTTATTACTTATACATAATCTTTTCTTTAAATGATTATTTCTTATCCTATATTCAAAAATGATTGGTGAGTATTCGTGCCCCTATATTCATAACTCTGGTATTGCCTGCTGTAAACCTTGTATGCACCCTGAAGGTGGAAGGCCAAAAATCGTATCCCTTGTAGTGATTGTGGTAAGCCTCTATTTCTGGCCGTTGCCCTTTGCATATTAGAAGGCATTATGTCACTCAATACTATCAAAAATTACGTGTTAAGGCCTCTGAAAATGCTAAATAACACTCCTTCAATCATAGATTTCAGGAGATAAATAAGTGTTCTTTTATTCGAAAAAATTTTATAAAGCTATAGTTAGTCTATTGAAAATATTCATCTGGTCCTTCATCTGCGGTATAGTATTCGGAATCTGTATTTTCTTCTATCTCTAGATAACAAGTTATTGGTAATTCAGAATTATAAGATTCACATGAAACCTTTTTATTAAGATGTTCTCAAAGCTTTTGTGGTGTTGATAATGTTTTATTACATTTTCCACAGGTACGATTTTTTTATATTTTTTCTAGCCATTGTATTTCTATTATAATCACTACTTTAATAAGACTTATGTTATATTTTTTGATAAAATTTTGTATATCAGGAATTTAATCTAGAGTGCTAAATACCAAGGACAATTTTTTCAGGAAAATGCTCTAAAGCTCTGGCTTCATATACAATTGTTGGCGGTTTTCTTCGCGAGGCGGCTGCGCTCCCTCATCGCGACAATAGGGCCCTATAGTGTCGATGCTCAGTGATGAGGCCACCGACTTAGCCAACTCTATTATACTACTTAAGTAGTATTTATTGGCTTCGTTCTCGGCCGGTTGCTAAATGGCATAATCTGTAATAGTCGGCTCAATAATACGGGAGCCCTAATTCAATCGACAAAGTTGAAATCCATAACAAAAAACTGTCAGCGGCGAACAAATTTTGCTCGTCAGAAATCGAAAAGTTGTGGAATGATCTAAAACGATTATACGACAGAAGAACCGAATCAACTCCAAAATTTTCATTTAACAAAATGGCGTTTGAAATTGACAAGTTGTTCGATAAGCAAAAGGCCATTGCCGTATCTATGATAAGAAATTTTTATCTTCGAAGAACAACTCCGCGGAAAAAAACCATTATGGCAATCCAATGTTGGATTGACGAAGAGAAGACATTGTTAGTAATAGTAATAGTAAAGAAGATAATGAAACTTAAATTTGCACCAGAGTGACCAAAAAATAGGTGGTCCGAGTATTTTCCTCCCATGAAATCACTCTGGTGCTTTTATATTTTTGCATTCTATAATTAAGTTAATAAAATTATGTCTGCAAAAATCAAATTATTGTTACGTTATTCGACCCTTTGGTTACGATTGCATCATAGTGAAACGCGAATCAAGACTCAATGAATGCGCTCAAGCAGTCCTTTATCAACAAGTTGAAAACTATAAGAAATAATCTTTCGTTGATAGGTCGCTCGGTCAGTGGAGGCCTTGGTGGGAAGTGTTTACGTTAAAATTAGTTTCCTTAAGTCTCTTCTATTCTTCGTTTCTTTCTTGGTTCATGAATATGTGTTGATGCATTATTATTTTTCGTTCTTCTTGATAAATTTCATAAGTAATTTTTTCTTTATCTAGATACTCCTCAAGGATTTTGGTATCATTGATTTTAAAAATGTAAGGTGCAATTTTTTCTCCTTGACAATGCTTCTGTAATTTTGGTTCCATGGTGGATCTAATGTAAATTAATTTCATATTATATTTTTATATAGACATAATCCTATATTAATACTAGTCTTTAGATAATAATAGAAGTTTGCTACATAAATTTGTTATTGCTGTGATAATAAAATGCTATTAGTCACATTAGTCAACTTTCTGCCACATCAGCCTCTCATTTATGTCACATAATAAAAATGTTCACTTTGTCTGGTTTTGTTGCAGTCTGCCCCATATTGATATCATAATCAAGCAAAAATTATACCTTTCGATTTATGATCCAAATTTGACTTAACGAGTCTAAAAACGCGAACATCTTATAAGTCTATAATTTATCCAAATCAAACTGAGAATATTAAAATGCAAATATCAAGGCAAGGGCTTTGCATATTATTATAATAACAGATAACCAATTTTTGTATATAAAAATAAAAACCATAGAAACGATTTATTATTATTTTCGCTGGGGACTAGATTCCTAAATAAGCTCATTCCAAAAGGTAATCATGATATTAATATGTTTAATGGGTTGGGGGTTGATAAGATCAAGCGGATTAACATTATGATCTGTATTAGTATCTTATAAATCCTCAAACTGCAGCTATAATATAGAACAGTCGGGTATGCTGTTTATAATTGTTTACAATGAGTCAGAGATCAGATACCAGTGTCCGACTCTCAACTGTCAAAATTTTTTCTGATTGTCAGATAGATTATTTAAGATGTGCAACATTTTGCATGTGAAAATTTTTGAACGGGAAAGTTTATAAGTAAACATGTCCCAAACAGATATACCTTTTTGCGAACCAATTGGTTTTCATAGTAGAGTCAACCTATAATTTCAGCGACATTACCTTTACCTATACGATGTCTGACGCGACTTCCGCCTCGGCTCAAATAGTCGACTATTTTATATCTTTGTTTTATGTTTTTGAATCTACATTAGATTCCTTGTTGAAGCCAGTGGAAGAGACTGGTAAAGCAGTTCTATCCAGCCTTGCCCCTTCTCTTTATTCGAATGTCGGACAGTATTTCGCTAGCAGCGCTTCTCCTTTTGCTTCCAGACTTCCTCTTATGAACTTCTTTCATGTACTTGTTATCACGTTGAGTTATTTGGGTTTAGTCTTTGGAGGAAAGGCGTTAATGGAGAAAAGGGAGAAGTTTAATATGAGGCTAGTCAGTTTATTTCATAATTTGTTTTTGGTTCTCTTGAGTACGTATATGTGTGGCACGATTCTTAGCGAAGCGTGGAGACAAGGATATGGCCTTTTTGGTAACCCGGTGGATAAGACGGAGAGAGGTTGGCAGGTGAGTTATTTGGTCAAGTGAAGTAACAAATACTATCAATTATGATATGTTTGTTATTTACGTCACTTGTCTATGTTAGTAACTAAATCGATTTAGTTTGATCGATCATTCGCAGTATGCCATAATTAGTTATCTACGGCATTTGCTGTTTCTTTGCTATATTGATTCACCAATGTTTTGTTATACTACTACATTGCTAGATGGCCAAATATACATGGCTATTCTACGTATCCAAAATAGCCGAATTTATGGACACTTATATTATGGTATTAAAGAAGAATAACCGTCAGATTACTTTCCTTCATGTCTACCATCATTGCTCGATCTTTGTAATCTGGTGGGCTGTTGTGTATATAGCTCCCAATGGGGAAACGTACTTCAGTGCTGCTTTGAATTCAGGTAAACGATAGAAGAATGTGGTATCTTGGAGATATTCGTGGTCATGTTTGTGGCGAACGTTGTGTTCCATAGTCGTGATATGTAGATGTTAATATTCTGTTCTACGTCTGATCCCATTATACCTATCGTATTATATATTTGGCTAATGTGCTTTACATCTTTCTTACTCTCGTTCATCAGCTGTCCACATAGTCATGTATGGTTACTACCTCAGCACCACACTCTCAATTCCAATTCGCTTCATCAAACGATTCATAACGCTATTCCAAATGACTCAATTCACCATGATGATGATTCAAGCAACATATGACATTATTCTGTTTAGATTTGTTAAAGCAGACAGTGAAGAGAAATACCCATTCGATTTAGCTGCATTGCTATGGATTTACATGTGGACAATGTTGGGTCTTTTCGCGAACTTTTTCAAAAAGGACAGATTACGAGAGCAACAACAGAAACTGGCGAAGAAGGAATGAAGATTATGGTTAGCTACACCGGTTATGATACTTGTATATTAATAAATCACATACTCATATATCATTGATGATTGATATCTAATGTGAGATTGAATATTGTGTTGTGTTTATTTGCTCCAACAAAAGACTAACATCTTGTTATCAAGTGGTATGGTCAGAAGGAAGCGATTGGTATCAATTAATATGTTTCTACTAGACTTGTTATCAAATGATGTTATCCGTTTATGATAGTAATGGGGAGTAACACGAATGTATCTCCATAAACCATTTATTTTCCAATGCACGTGCAATCGTAAATGTCCAGAGTCAAGGGAGAGGATGTACATCACGTGAGTAATAGTAATCGTACACAATGAGTTTATCGGCACACAGTCATACATGATTGCCCACAAGTTGAAAGTGAATAACCATTAGGCATATCGCATCAAGCCATATTCCAACCAGGTGTGCACTATTCTTGGGTAAAAGGTGACAACCTCAACGTTACGAATTTTTGTGCGTGGGATGAAACGTTAGATCCATGTTGCAACAGACATTAATTTCCGAGAATTTTTTATTTCTGTGTGATTGTGATCAACCTTTGCAGAGATAATTGTTCTCATCAGAGATTTTGTATATATATCGGTAAACTCAACTCTGTTCTACGCTAACTGGTATAATATTGTTGTAGCGCATTATATCACTCACGTTTGTACGACTGTTATCAGCATATCATTTGATATATCACTGCGAAAACAGACCACAAGTGAACGCGGGGATAACTTGACATCATGAGTATAGCCATGACTGCTGAGCCTAAGAAACGAATAAATTACTTCTACGATGGTACGTTGTCGGTAGACGATCATTCTGAAACCTGTTATAGCGTCGGATGATTATTTGTTTACTGTTTTAACTGACATCCAATTCTCATCCGTGAAATCAGACCTAGTGAGCGACTTTAACCTTCGTAAAGCGCACGTAATGAAGCCACTACGAGTTAGAATGACTCACTCACTTGTAACGAGTTATGGATTGAATAAGAAGATGGAAATCTATGTATCCAATGTTATCTATGTGCTGTTCTCGTCAACTGTGTAGAATAAAGTTATTGCAATGACAGATTCTTTAACCGTGAGCTACCGTTATACAGAGAGCGAAACCTGGTTCCATAGACGAGTTGACACAATTTCATACAGATGACTATATAAACTTCTTGGCTAGAGTGACTCCGGAGAATAAGGATGAGTTTGAAGCAGAACGAATAAGATGTATGTATATTCTCGATTGTGGTGAATCTTTGGTTCTAGCTGTCTAATTATCTATTTCACAACGTTTCGCTATAGATTGCGTTGGAGAAGATTGTCCAATATTCGATGGGATGCTCGAACACGGTCAAAGATCAGCTGGAGGGTCACTCGGTATGTAAAAAAGGACAAGGGAGTGTAATAGAGAACAGAGGAACGAAAGAGTATGTCATAGCATCTAGTCTTGTCAGTTTATTTCATCTTTATAATTATTTCATCGCCTGACTTGTATCATATTATTCGTGATAGAGGGTGCTGCTAGACTCAATTATGGCTTATGTGACATAGCTATTAATTGGGCGGGCGGATTACATCATGCTAAGAAGCAAGAAGCGAGTGGATTTTGTTATGTCAATGACATTGTCATAGCTATACTTGAGCTTTTAAGGTTTGCAATAACGAGCATTCTATCAATAGTAGATTATTTTTCTTGCTTACATACATACGTTTTCTGCATCACAGAGTTCACGAGCGAGTGCTGTACATAGACATTGATGTGCATCATGGTGATGGCGTTGAAGAAGCATTCTATACAACAGATAGAGTAATGACACTTAGCTTCCATAATTATGGAAACTTTTTCCCTGGTACTGGGGATATAGGAGTGAGTGTTTTATCGAACTTGTTAGTTAATATCCCATGAAATATTATCTGACCATATTCTATTTACAGGATATTGGTGTTGGAAAGGGGAAATATTACGCCGTTAATTTCCCACTAAGAGAGGGAATAGACGATACATCATATCAGACTATATTTCGACCTGTAGTTACGCATGTTGTAGAATGGTATAAGCCATCTGTTATCGTGCTTCAGTGTGGAGCAGATTCTCTGGCCGGCGATCGGTTGGGAGCATTCAATTTATCTTCGATAGGTAGGAACAATCGGCATAACAATAATCATAGCGTCGAGTTGAAATTTATGATCGCTTCGCTATATACAGGTCATGGAGAATGCGTACAATTTGTAAAAACATTCAATATCCCAATGTTAGTATTGGGTGGCGGAGGATATACAGTACGCAATGTACCACGTGTATGGGCATACGAAACAGGAATAATTGTAGGAGAGCGAATGAACGAAGGTTAGGTATCATGATTAGCACAACATTTTACGGTTTATTCCAATCTATTAACCTGCAACTCTTTGGTTTTGTCGATTATATAGAGATTCCTCGCACTTGTAAATATTATCACTATTTCCAACCCGATTATAAGTTAATAGTCCCGCATTGTAATATGGAAAATCTAAACACACCCGAATTCTTGAACAAGACAAAGTATTGCTTAAGGATCTTTAAATGTTGGTCTTAGGCATTATAGTAATAATAAGACTAACTACTCCCACATTTCAAGAACCAAAATATACGAACATCTCGCACGCTCGCGACATGTCCCAAGCGTGCAAATGCAGGGTCGGTAACATCGCGTTCTTTCCATTAAGCTATAAGCATATCCCATTAATATTATTTACTACTTTTGTTCATAGACGTTCCACCTAGTTTCCTTGGTCGAAAAGACGTGGATGACATGGAAGAAGATGACAATCCGGATATACGGAATCCTCGTAATTACTGTTTATTAGGAAGATGATAATTTCGTACGTTCACGTTGATAAATATTCACTGATACGTTTCCATACTCGCTGGCTTACACAGAAAGGCTACGCGATAAGCGTATCGTACCAGATAACGAATTCGAAGAAACAGACGATGACGACGAAACTCCATACGATCCACGCGAACGAATAAAATACGTTCACACGTACCGCCATAAACTACGTGAGCCGGCTGATAATTTCTGCTTGATTCGCTTTCTTCCAAAAAATTGCATATATTCTTTAAAATAAATATGCAAAGCCTTCGAAACACTCTCTACTCTCTTACTTTTTTCTACAGCGTTTTAATATTTTCTGCCAATCCCTTAAAGGATCTCATAATGCTCGTTCGGGATACCATCAAATATCGTACGGGCGGCCCTTGCTGGATTTCCCACACTTACGAACGTCCTCCTGCCAAGTCGATTCTTGATTTTCGGACCAGAAGTTGCATGGGGCAAGCCTGGATTGTAGAGCGTTTCGAGTAACAGTCTTCCATTTCCTGTAAGGCGGCTTTGTTTTGATGAAAATTGCATATGGTTGTTCTTCTATATTTTTTTTCTTTGAACTCTTCAAAACTAAAAGATAGAATCACCATATAATAACCCCATCACTTGGATACACATGATTTGTGCAATTATTCCAGCTGTTGAGGAAGAGCTGAGTTCAATTCCTTTACAATTGCCAACGGCTTCAGGAAGTTTCCTCTGGCGTACGTGTGGTATCCATTTTGCAGTGAGAGACCTTACAAAGAGACTAAGATACATATGCAGGATCGCCTCGTTCCTTCTTTGGGTACCCATAATAATTTGGCATGTTTTGTTCCGTTGTTTTCTTTATTAGAGACACCTTACGTTGAGTGATAATTAGAGTTTCAGTGCTGATTACAAGGAGATTAAATTAAGTGCATTAGCACGTAATAAATCTATATTACAAGACATGCTTTTTGCTACCCGTCATAGAGTATTAGTTCATGGTCAATTTCACCGCTAATATTAGCCAAGCATTTCTGAAAAGTTTGGACAAATTCACCATGTTGATTGTGCTAGTAGTCTGTTCATTAACGGGAAGTCCTTATAATACAAGATTCTGAACCTTATAATAATAAACAACATGCCTGGTAATAATAAATGTCAAAGTAACTACTTACTCAACCCAGAAATTATTATTATCATTTAACAGAAGTTCAAAACCTATATCATAACGTACAAAAAGATCAACTATATAATAGCTATCTATATTAGCACGTAAAATTCAACAGATTGGTATCAGCAGAATTTGAGACAGTTATTATAAGCTTATAAGATCCAAATAAAACTGAGAATATTAAAATGCAAATATAAAGAAAGCGTATTTTAACCTGCTCTGACGTATTAAGTAAATATGGTTTTTATGCCATGTAGATAAAAGAGTTGTAAAGTAAAAATAAGATTAACTGTTACTACTACTAACTGCAAATACAACGTTTTATGTAGAGTATTATACCTTGCAATGTAAATTCTTGATCTTATAATAGTGTGTTGTGATTTCGTCGCTATAGTTATTCTTTCCATATAATGCAATTGTCACTTTCAACTAGTTATGCTTCACATATGCAGAGACACGTCTCTCCACGGTATGGCAGTGTGTTTACACAGATGCAAATACGATTATGGAAGTTTAGCGAATAATTGTAAATATAGTACCGGGCTATTACAAATCCGTCCTTGTCAATTCATTTGACAAGTCGTCTATTTCGAATGGTCTAATCTTTTTTCAAGAGTTCTGAGCTACACACAAATTATTTGTATAATCTAATACTAATGTTTGCATACCAAACACACAATACTACTCACGCGCCTGCATTAAACTTATTAATAAATTTAAATTAGCTGGTGTATAATCTTAACTGTTAATATATCGACGTTCAAATAACGGTTAAGCAAGAATATTTGTTCTCGTTAATAAAATAGCGCATAAAACAGCGTACTTACGTCTAACAGTAATTCTGATACTACTGTTTGTTGGCTTAAATAGAATCACAATTGAGCATTGTGATATAAATTTGTTGTTTCACAATTGGTGAGTAAAGTTTCTATCACTTTCAGAGACGTTTATCTCTATAATCAATAACCCATTTTATTCCTTGAACAAAAAGAAGCTTCTCCAGTACGTATGTACAGTGTATTTCTTATAATAATTGGTCTCCTTTATCAATTAGATAAAATAAGGTTACCTTCTTGACATGATTTCTTGAGATAAATGTTCGATAAAGCACACTTTCATAATGCAACCAGTTATCGCATCTCTCGAAAAATTGCAGCGATTATCGAAATAATTACAGTTTTATTGAAATTCTAATTCGTCTTAATAGTAAACGTGTTCCTTACTTGATCTTACACGGAACCACGATAAAATATTATAATGATATTAATATGGTAATAATAAGCGACGTTATGTAATTGTGTGACGTTCGTTGAAGCACGCCAGCAATCAGTGTTACAAATAAAGAAATCGAATCTCCAGATTGACGACAATCAGCATTTAACTTTTTGATTATCACCGATTATGATGAATCAATTATCTCGCCCACGTACACATAAATATGTAGGCAATGAACGAGATTAATCTCTATTACAACCATCTTCGCCTCACCCTCTCTCATCCCTCACCACAATATGCCTCACTTATTCCTCCATCGCCTGGCAGCTACGTCTGCCAACCAACTAGTCCGTCGTAGAGGACATGTCTACAACGCCATAAGATACCATCATGTCCTATCGACTCAGAGGAAAAATATCCCTCATTTGATAACCTTGGCAGACTTGTCTCAATCGCAGATTTATAACTTGCTTAGATCAGCTATTCAACATAAGTATAATGCCAAATATGCTGGAAAAGGTTCAGGAGAACCATTAAAGGGGAAGACGCTTGCGTTGACGTTCTCGAAGAGGTCAACTAGGACTCGAGTTGCTACCGAGAGTGCCACTGCTTATCTTGGTAAGTTTATTTCGCATTACATGGTACAAGGAAGGAAGACGATTAAAATGGATATGAGAACCCGTATATTAATCACTACCCTTGTCATTACTGTGCTGGCAGGTGGCACTCCAATGTTCTTGGGATCACAGGATATTCAGTTGGGTGTCAATGAATCTCTGTTGGATACGGCTAAAGTAATATCAAGTATGGCAGATGGAATTATGGCTAGGGTTGGTCCGCATAGTGACATTGAGGTAATTAATGGAGTCAAAGTATATAGATCATAAAAGAATTAAACCACAACAATGGCCATTCATTTTAGATGACTCGTTGGTTGCTGTATCACTTAAACCTGGCACTTTTCTTACTTGTTTAGGTACTTGCGAAATACTCTTCAGTCCCTATAATCAATGCCCTTTCAGATAAATACCACCCAACCCAAATATTGGCTGATTTGATGACAATGCATGAAGTATTTGGTCCCCATCCAGACACGGATTCAGAATACATATCACATCTCCACCATCCTAAAGATTTTCTCCCTGGACTGAAAGTCGCGTGGATTGGAGATGGAAACAACATGCTCCATAGTATGCTGGTTACATTCCCCAAACTAGGAATTCACTTTAGTGCGGCTACTCCTCAAAACTATCAACCAGATGCTGATGTTGTTGAAATAGCCAAGAAAGAGGCTGAAAATAGTGGTAGTGAACTTAGTTTTACTACTGCTCCTAAAGAGGCCGTTAAAGATGCTGATGTTATTGTCACTGACACTTGGTGAGTAGCGGAAATTAAAGCTAGAGAATGTAGTGCATGACTTATTATGGGCGGGATACTGATTGGGTTTTATCTATAATTTGGTAGGATAAGTATGGGTCAAGAAAGCGAAAAACTTCAGAGATTAAAGGACTTCGCAGGATTTCAGGTTACAATGTCATTAGCTGAACAAGGTGGTGCTAAACCAGACTGGAAGTTTATGCATTGTTTGCCCCGTAAGAGTGAAGAAGTCGATGATGAGGTAGGAATGCCCATTAATTATTCGAGTCATATAAGAGACTGGCATGACTTATACTCACAACGACAACAAATTGTTTAGGTCTTTTATTCACCAAAATCGGTCGTCTTCGAAGAAGCAGAGAACAGAAAATGGACCATTCTTGCTGTTATTGATGCCTTGTTGGTCAAGAAAAGCTTTGATTAATTTCATTCGAACAAGTATTCTCGGACATTCCTATCATTCTAATTTTTAATATATAATTTAAATTGATAGCTTAAAGTATCAATAAAACAAGATGTTCTGTATTACGCATCTATAATCATTCTATGAATGATAGGCCTTCTCCATCTTTTGGCTGAATATTATTTTTCTTCAGGTATTCATCGTTCCTAATAGAACAAACATGAGTAAGCTAATAATAAAAATAACCAATAGAATAGTTTGCCAATTACCAGAATTTAGTTAAATGCTGTTATGTAGAATAAAGTTCGATAGCAAGACATGTAAAGACGGGCGTCATTTAGTATACGTCACAATAACAGACAGGAATCGAAGTTCAGACCAATAACGGATGATTACCGACCCTCTGTCCAGAATCACACAATAAAGTAACAATTCGGTGTCCGGGGCCCAACTGCCTTGCAACGCGCACACATCCCACACAATTAATTGCTGACGAACTTCCTATGAATAATCCTATCACCAGCGAAATATTGAATTGAAACATTTTAGTCACGAGTTCAATCGATAATGGCCTCAAACGCCGCGCTCACTCTGGCAAAATGCTTTCCTGATACTTTCCACACCGGGCTCGTATGTAAATTCGAAAGCCGTTACCCGCGATCACCAGGAACCACCTCACCTTCTTCTCTAACCAAATATCGCGCCATGGCCACCGCTTCCTCATCACTAACAAAAATCGCATCATCGATCCAGCCATGGGCTATTTCGAAATTGGCCGTAATACGGTTAAGTCCTACGCCTTCAACTATTGTATCTACTTGGTGCCTGCGCCTAGTCCCTTCAGCTTCATAGGGAGAATACATAATGTTGTGTTTGATTTTATGGAATAGACCTGAGCCAGGTGGATCAACGAGAAAGACTTTGAGGTTTGGGATGAGAGGTTTGAGGTAACGACTTAGCCCTGCTATTGTACCTCCTGTACCTTTTGGTCGAAGAGTTATTTAAGCTTGTTAAATGAAAGTAAGCACTGGCACGTGAATTGTGATCATCTATCTGCTCGGTGAGACTTAGATGCAATATAACGCGTAAACATAAAAAACTGATAAAAATACATTCCAGCACCAGTCACGATTGCATCTATCTTCCCATTCGTCTGTTCATAGATTTCTGGAGCTGTCCCATTATAATGTGCTTTATAATTATCTAAATTTTCGAATTGATCTGTAAAGAATCCCCTTGGTCTCTTCCCGTAATCTTCCGCCTCGCTGGCTCTTTCATCATCTCTATTACCCGTTCCGAATTCCAAGGCGCGCTGCTTAGCCAAATTCACAAACTGATTCTTATCAACAATACTCGCCGGCCTGACTTTTTCAACAGTCGCTCCCAACTTCTCAAGTAATTGGTATTTCTCCTTGGCTTGGTCATCAGGCATAACAATCCATGCGTTGTAGCCTTTAGCACGAGCAATCATTGCAATGGATATTCCGGTAGAACCCGAGGTTCCTTCGAAAATAGTTGAGCCAGTGTTTGGATAGATTAATCCTTGAGATTCTGCTTGCCTGATCATGTTTAGGGCAGCGCGATCTTTCGGACTTCCACCTGGGTTTAGAAACTTTTATATTAAGATAACTTTAAAAGTGTGATAATGGCGCAAGAATTTGAAAAGGCATTTCACTAAATTGGACGCCGTAAACTGTTGCGTACTTATACATACTTCTGCTTTTGCCTGCAAGTTCACGATAGTTTTGTAACTATTAAAAAGTTTTGCAATCTTTGCAAAGCTCGATCCTTCTCTAAACAAGTTGGGATACATCTTTGGAACTTACAAGAATTTCGCAGCCTGTAGCTTCACTCAAGCTCTTAAGCCTGATCAACGGTGTGTTCCCTACAAGACCTTCAATGCCATGCACAATTCCCTTTCCTTGCTCTCTACGTTTCTTCTCAGGCCTAGTCGACCAAAAATCGAATAACTTCAAACCGCAAACAGCTAAAGCAGCTCCGACAATTACACCAACTACTATCGAAGGGCCCTGGATATTGAATGAAGCATACTTTTGACTCATTACTTTGAGAAATGAAAGTTTCGATACGCTTTGGAAATTCTCTTAAATTGAATTGTATCACAGAAGCATAGTCGAATATTCTGCGAATTGTAATAAGTAGTACACTGTATTACAAAAATAAAGTTTGTCCTACAATCTCGATATTATAGAAATAGTTCTTCATATAAAAAAGAAGCGTTTTAACAATAAGAATAACCAAGTCTTGATATTACAGCTGGCTCTAATGTTGAAGTAATATTCTCTGTAACCCCATCGGAGTTACGCAGAAATTAGGGGAGAATATACGTCAGAATTAACACTTGACGTTAATGCTTACCTTGCATCATAAATTTGTTGCGCAGTAGCCTCGGGATGTTACAACTTAAGTCGAGTAAATCCATGTTGTGTCGTCAGATTATGAGAAGTACACTATGGTAAAGAGTTCGTAGTTTGCGCGCTTATTATTATCTCATGAGCATATTAATATCACGTTGTTTGGAACGTCAAATCAGTGTGCGTTATACATCTCGGAGTATGTCAACAACATTTCAGAACACGATTCATCATGAGACAGCGATACTGACATCGTTCAAACCCATAGTTGTCGTTTTTGTATAATACAATGAAAAGATTTTTTAGCCGTGGTACTGGTTGCAGTGAACATTCAGCGAAGATTAATGGATAATGTTAAGTACCTTGCATGGGCGCTGATTGTATATTTACAAAGGATCAATTGCAATGTTCAGGCTATCATACACATTATATCTGCACAAAATGCTTTCAGCAACAGGGTGGACATTTACGCAGAAATAAAGAATTTGTATCCTGCGGAGAACCACAATGATATAAACGATGCATTATATAATATAGGAAATGGATAATGTCAGTATCAGGGTCAGGTGATTGATGGTTACAAGAAAACTCTTCTCGTTGTTAAAACCAGGACTTGCAATTTTTAATAAGAACAATCAAACAACAGAAGTTGACAATCCAACAGAAGTTATTTGGCCAAGCAAATTACTAGTTAAAAACTGCTTTAAAAATTGGGAAAGTTGACTTATTATTATATTGTTATACGACGAATTTAATAATAGCATTTAAATAGCGACTTACGATTAATATTACAATTGGAAATATTCAACTGACGTTCACTATGATTTCTAATGTCTTCTCTAATGGTAGAAGTTCAGTCTGGTAATCTCTAGCTTTCGGCATATGCTGAACTTATTCAAGTTTACAGCATCGAGAGCTTAATCAGTTGTACGAACGATTATCGATGAAATCCCAGCAACATTCTTAATAATATAACACCGCTCGTACAACAGTATTGAGACTTCCTGCAAAAATATTGGAAAAGTAACATTATAAGCAAAGCTAACAAAACTGCATCTGAAAATGAAGATCGCAGCACACGTTTTGATTGTGGCCTGACAGCTCATTCTGAGAACGTTTCAAGATGGTCACATATTTTTTCGACGATCATTCTAATGTGACAATCCCGAAACGGGTCAAATCCCAGAATGGGTCAGAGCATTATGATGACGACTTCAAGTAAAACGTTTATCTCAATAATTTATACTTTAATGTGAGGAATAATTGTGGCGTTCACAGTTTTGAATATGTGGCGTCATATATTAATATAGGTGCGTCTATGATAATAATAGTCGCAAAGCCCAGCCCATTTTGGAATGTTCTGTACTACTCACTCCGGCCCGGTTTTTATCTCGTCATAAAGAGATCGCTTACCGTTACTGTGCATCCTCAATACGGCCAAAAATTATAACCAACAAGCACACACTATCCCGTCCTCACTTTTAACATGTCTTCCGCTTCAGCATCTTCATCCAGTATGCCAGCAGCCTACATAAATACAGAGGCGGTTATGAATGCTCTCCCCATCTCAGCTGAACGACGCTCACTTTTAACTCGGCTGAAGAATGACAGGTTGGCTAACCTGAGGCCACCCAGTGAATTCTTTGATAGGGATAGGTTTTCCAAGCCGTCTGGAATGGTTGGTATGTATATTGGAAGGAAGTGCATAGGCTTTCTGTGATATTCGGTCCAAGCTATGTGATTTAACTATTTTTTCATATTATTTTAGATATTACTCAACGTCTATCTTATAATTTAACCCACTTCCAATCTAATTATATTCTGATTGTTCTTGGTTTACTTATATATTGCTTGTAAGTAAGCCGTAGTGCTGTTACTCTCGTTTTGTATTAGCTAACCTTCTTTCCCCTTTTTTGTTCCCAGAATTACGAATTTTTGGCTTTTATTCACCATCATTTTCCTTATTCTCGGACTTAATTTCGTTCGTAAACTCCCACCCAATGAGCCTTTTGTCTTCCAACAGTTTGTGATTACTCAAAAGCAACTTTATACTGGTCTCATTATCATTTCTGTTCCTCTATTGTGGATTTCATCTGCCGGGTCGGCCGTATTCTGGATCGTTGGTAAGTATGCGAAATCGTAATTTATGTGAGAATTCGTGGGCGCGTTGGTTATTTATGTCTATCAGCTTCGGGTGTAGTCTATCGTCTTGTTACTTCGATATTTCAATACCAAAGCTTGTGTCTTCTAATTTATTCTTGCTTACACACAAAGGTGCTTCTGCTGTCTTGGTTCTCGGTCACGCTGCTTTCCTCGCGACTGGAGTAGATAGTGAATTTGCTGCTGCCGCTAACCAAGTCTAAATGAGACTCTAATATTCAACTTTATTAAGTATTGACATGTATAATAACTAGCAAGAGATATCGACACATTATATTTATTCTCTTAATAAATTAATCGATATTCAATTAGCCGTTAAACTCACTTGACATAACTGATAGCATTAAACATGCTTACAAAAATAATTTATGACGAACTAATATCAAAGCTCTGATGTATAGAAAGAACCTTCACAGGCGCCCACCCGAAAAGTTTCTTGTGACTAAATGTTCACGTAATATCCGATTAGCTTCTTTAAAACAGGCAATTTAACCTACAGTTCGTCTTGCACTCACTCGAAAGGTTAATGTTCATGATTGCTACATTGATTTTTTGAAGCAGTTCATAAGATGATGCGTTTGACTTCTGGGGAGAATTAAGCATTTACTTTCTTTTTAAAGCTTGTTTTTTAGGTCAAATCACCATCAAATTTTGGTTTGACGCGATCAGCTATGTATGGTTTGTATAACATTCGATTCTCATTATTTATGGCGAGCACTGTACATTGTTTAAAAAAAAAACAATATCCAGAAACTTTTAATGGATTAAGACCATAACCAGGGCCGGCCATTAACTTCGGAACATTTTTCTAAAAATTAATTTGGGGAAAGTTGGGCTGTATGCTTAGAATAATTATCTTGCTAAAACCAACATCCATTGCCCATCAAATTATTGACTTCTGGAATAACCTTTTAAGATTTTAGTCGTGCCATTCGCGTTTTAATCGTTATTATTATTATCAATAATTTTCACACTGTAAGCACTTTTCTTTGTGGATTTTAAATGACTGGTGTTTTTTTAAGCATATTGAGCAAACTCTAATAAAACAAACTCATTACCATGATCAATTAATTGCTCTCCTGTTGATTATGCGTTTTGTGTCAGCATATTCTTTCGAGGCTTGGTCAAATAATGACTTTTCGTAGTTCTATTACCACTTACAGCACTGTTATGTCATCAAGTCTTTCAGATAGTCGTGAGAATGTGCCATGATCAACAGGATGTCGGTTATTGGTATACGAGTCATAGTACTAATTGGTTTGTATTTTTAAGTCTTAAAAATGTGAAGTGATTATGTTTAATAATCATTCCAATTTGACGACGTTCAGGAGATAATTTTGTGGGCATCAGTTCGATGAATGTTAAGAATTTTGCCATTTTCCCGAAAAACGGGAACATGACGTTCACAGGAACGAAAGGAATTCCAGTTTGTTGTAGGCATCATTTGAGTGTAAAATATCATATATTTTAAGCATTTACCAACGATAAAAACGCTCTGACACGCAGCATTAATGGAATTAAATAACAAAAACATTTGCTTATGACGGCTTTGGCATTTTACAGACATCATGTACATTGAATGCAAAAATTTATGATAAATAATTAGCGTATTGTTGGACAATTTAGTAAAACAGTCATATGATTAGATAAAAAATCTTCTCACTTTCAACCAATAGTAGTAGTAGAAGCAGCGGGCTAATAATCATATGATAAACGTCACTTAATAGCTTATTACTGCGCATAGCATATTCTGCGGAAACTACTCACGGATCACATGTTTCTTCGCGATACAGAAAATAAGCTTTTTATTAATTCGTTTTGCAACTGTTCTCTTCCAGTTTCGTGACTCTAGCCTTAAGATAATAATTTTATTTGCTATGTAGGATTTGTTTTAGAATACGTTCCAACTCACGGATGTGGAGGAAGTCTTCTCGAATGCCATCGTTATCTTCGTCTTGTAATTGTCGAACCATGTTTACCGTATTAATCAAACCTTCCTAATAACATGGATAGAGGTCAATAAGCAAGAAATAAAAATCATCTGTGAAAACAGTTAATATATACTTTCAGATCCCAGAGCAAGACCACGAAATCAAAAAGATGTTTTTTTTGTTCCTCATAACAGATCGGAACAATCGCTTTGTGAGTGCGTTCCCATTGTAAAATCCCTCTGGCACAGTTGTACATTTGCCAGAGTTCGATTTTATCTTCTATAAATACAAATCTGAATAAACAAACTATTTGGTATCAGTAAACCACAAATTCAAATAATACTTACCGTGTGTATGCACAAAAAAGACACGTGTGTTGGCAAATGATTTTGGTGATGCTTTCCGATATCTCTCGCCAATCTCTTCAAGCATGTACATGTTTCCTAGAGGTCCTTTGCAGCATCTGTCCCAAGTAGATTGTGAAATTTCTTGGTGGCCATACCCGCTCATTTCTAAATGTTCAATCTCAAGACATGATCTTTGTAATCGTGCTAGAAATCTACCATCTGCTTTTTGTTCAAGAGGTTCACACTCTCGCCGGTTGCAGCAGGATTCGATAAAAAAAAGGCTTATATTGTAGTTGTACATCATATAACAATATAAAAAGTGGGGAAAAAATATTTACGGTTCATAAAGCAAGTGGTCTTCTCCTGTAAGAAGTTCTATGAAACAAGGATGAATTATGTATGCGGCATACGAAGCTTCCGATACCCCGATTTGTTGCATAATAAATTTTTGTGGAAAAACCAAGCGATGACTGAAAATATGTCAGTTGGTGATTTTAATTTGGAAAGAAGTCAATTGAGAAACAAGTACTTACAACTGAGATAAAATCTTAACAAAGAATGATGTCATCGCATCTGGGGGTGCTGGTATTAGACTCAACTGTTTTATTTCTTTCAAATCGTTATCGTTTTGCATCAACTCCTTTAATTTGATTATGTTCAATTCCTGCCCTAAACCCACGAGAGACTTCTATAATAATAATTGCACATTTTGATAAAAATCTAAGAAACTGATAAATCACAGTGATATGAAGATAATGAAGGCGATGCATACATTTTTCCGCAATTTTATGACAAACTCTGGAGGGTTGATAATGCTGCATCTTTTGACTGTCTTCTGTATTTCAGCGTATTCCTCTTCATTACACCATTTGGTTTCGCGACATTTAATCCGCAACGAACGATGCCCCATACTTCCGGTCTAACGTGGTTCGAAATATTAATGAGTTGCAGTCACAAACAGCCATAATTTACCTCATTAAATGACCCGTAATGCCGGCCGCCACTTTTAGAAGGTTGATCACTGCTAGACCAGACTTTAGAATCCATTCATTGTAGTTAGAGGGATGCTCACTATTATCAAAATCATATTCCCTGTCTGTCTCTTCGAGAAACAGTTCTGGATCCAATTCTTGCCCATTGTATTCGCTGGAAAAATACTTTTCCTGATAAGTATCAAAGGAGGAAATTTTCACCATTGGAACCTGTTTACATGATCTCTTTCTTGGATTTTCATTCGATTTTGTCTAAAGCAAAGGAAAACAAAACAGTTCATATATAACAACTATTGAGGCTAAAACATCAATCAATTACAAACCTCAAGTGCTCGTTTCTTTTTAACATTCTCAACCTTAATACAGTTCACACAACTATCAGTAATCTCTCTCAGTTGAATTTCGAAGTTACATTACTGACCTTTTTTGATTGCGCCTTATTATATTTTCTGCTATTTCCAGTACTACCCATAGCTAAGCAATTAGTTATATGTAACTTGCATAAAACTAAAGAAAGATGGAGGACGTGTCGCGTTTTGCCTTTTGATGTAGTGATCAGCATAATCACGAGGACTTATGCTTTGTATAACATTAAGATCATTTTTTAGAACGAAGACAATATCGTTCTTTCTTTCCAGAAAAAATATATTTGATTCAACAAGTTTGCCAAGAAAAATTTTTATTAATACATGCAAAAATAAATACAAAGTTTAGGACTGCGCCCAGGATACATGATGTCTATGCTAATACACATAATTACTCCTGTTTTTCAATAGTTGTAGTATAGATTTTTATTTGAACATGTTAATGTATCTTTAGAATTGACCGCCATTTTTGGTAAATCCCTGACTGTGATAGATATCACGAGGAACTTTTATTCACAACGAGGTGCTTGCTAAAGCCCAGTTTAAGCTGGTTTTATCTATCTACATGCAGAAGAAGAGAATAAAAGCCCATAAGACAGATTCATTGTGGAGAGGGGGAAATATCTATTCTTAGATATGTTAATGAGTGATTAGGGGGGACCCATGGGGTTAGTGGGTCTATCTGTATGTCTATGGATTGGAGGTATAAAAGGCGTCCTAGCATAGAGTTAATGATATTGTCATGGGGGGAGGTTGGTTCATGTCCAAAAGTCCTTGAAGTAAGGCATTCCAGAGTGTGAGTACAGCTGCTGATTGCAGGTAAAATCTTCCTCCGCAGTCAAACAAAATTCCATGATCGACGTTAATTTTAGAATGGTAGTACGGCGTTGCGTTTTAGGCACCGTTTCGATTTTTGAGTGTCGCTAAAGATATATAAGCGACCCTTATCCCATTGTCGAATTCTAATGTTATTTTAATGTTATTTTAATGTTATTTAATGCTATTTAACTATGACTCTTAATTGAGGAACAAGAGCCAATAATTATTTATTGAAACAAAAATTGTTTAATTAGTTTGAGACAAGTGACGGAACTCGACTAGTCGAAATACCAAATCGAAGATAGCCCTGTTTAATATTAAATAGAATTTATTCCCCTTCGATTCCGCAATAGAATAATTGTTGTTGTTATTTTATTGTGGGTACCCTTATTTGGAATCACGAGTGATTTGAAGCTCGGATAGGGAGTTGAGAAGCGCGCATTTAATTTAATTATATAAATAGGTCACTTGTAGATTAGAATTCAGTCTTAATTGAACAACTACCGTGTTAAGGGCAGTAGCATGAAGCTAATCTGGTAATATCCCCCGGTCGGAAGAACACCCCTACGCGAAAGATTAATTGCTCTCCCAAACCCCAGACCATCCGACCGTAACACATGGAAGCATATCGTATTATTAGAAGAGGAGTAACCCTTTAATAAAACTCGTAATAAACGGTGAATTACAAGTTTATTCAAAGAGTATTTGAGTCACTAAATGTAAGCAGTGGACGAAGTTAATATTGTATATTGACTTTGTTTATATGAACAGAACCAATTGTTGTGCTTCGCAACCGCCACTAAATCCAAACCATCTCCCTTAGTCGTCGCCAAACTCCCCTAAATTTGGCAAGCTGAAATCTGATAAGGGAGGTAGGTGGTGAAAATTATTTGTTGGTTTAGGTAGATCTCCCGTAGTAGTAGGTAAGCGAAAAAAGTATTGTTTATATAACATAACTTGAGCATCAGGAACGTGACAAATATGATGTAATCACTGGTATGACCATTATTGCATAAATTTAGAGACTAACAGTATCCAATCGTATCAATCTCATACAGGCAGCCA